AAGTATTGACCAGACAGTTTAATTTTCACAGGAGGTGTAGAGGCGATTTTTTTATTGTTCAAAATACGTAACAATATAAAAAAAATAAAAAAAAATAAATAAAAAAATAAAGAAACAAATAAAAAATCAACGTCTACCGGTCGCACCACTTCAGGCCAGTGATGCCCGTTACTCCAAACAATGCTCTGTTCATTAAAGTCTCATCTTAATGTAATTAATAAATACACATGTTATTATTTAACAAAGTTTACCAATCAAATAATGCAATTAAATAAACAAACGCACCAACGAATAATTGGCTGTTAATTATTGAACGGCGATAATTATCATTATTATTAAAATCCTACTAAAACGTGTTCTAAATAGTACATGTAATTAAATGTTTGCAGTTTGATTCAGACTTTCAAATGAAAAGGTGTGAATTAACATATGTTAGTAGTGATGTACACATTTCAAAAATATAAGCAACTCTTTCGAAAAGTAAATTGTTTACATGTCTGTCAACGTATGGTGCTTCGTGGTATTTATTTACATCGTAATCGTAGCCTAATATTAACTGCATGCAAAACATTTTTATTGGCTGCTCAAAAATCTCATTTGCATAATTTATTCACACAATTGCTGGTTCTTACTACTTATGACTAATACTGTGTATTATCCATTTTAATTGTTTCTAATTTGCACCAAATGTTCCTGTCACACTGTGTACTAACGATTTTTATTGCTCCTTGTATTGCCTTTGTGCCGACAGAACTTTTGATCATGCACACTGTTGCCCTGATTGGTTAATCACCCTTCAGTTGTCAAATATTCTAATGACGAAATAGACATATTTTTTTACGCTTCATCAGTGAACTGAATGACCTTAGAGTAGTCAAGTTATACTGTAAATTACAGCATTTCATACAATAGCAACACATTTTTCAGTTACCAATAATCATTTTGAATATTAAGTAGATTTATGTTTTTTGTTTTATTGGATTAAATTTACGGTAGTAGATAAGATTAATTAAGTTCTTCGTCAAGATATATTTCAGTTGTACCAGCGTGTACACCTTTACCGGAAGTGGGTATAACACGTCACAATCTCGGTCTCGTCTGTCTCGCGAGAATGACAGAACGCCAAAATGGCGGCGCCTATGAACTTATTTCTCAAGTAAAAAATAGTGTCTTAAAATACGAATTTCTCACTTAAAGGGTTGATGTCAACAAAAAAACTGTCATGGTACCTCTTTTTTAATGATGAATATTTATATTAGACAGACATCAATCCATCCATTCCTATTCCTTTAATATCGCATTATATAAATCAAGGAAAACAGCTTTTTGTCTATTTATTGACTACAGTAAAGCATTTGATGACGTTGTGAGGGACAATCTTTGGTACAAGCTTATTAAGTAAGGGTTAAGAGGGAAATTTTTAGATGTCATTCAATCTATGTACAAATGTGTAAAATCAAATCTTAAGTATTTGAATAATTTAAATAATGAATTGACATGTATACTAGGGGTAAGACAAAATGTTATTCAATCTATGTACAAATGTGTAAAATCAAAAGTTAAGTATTTGAATAATTTAAATAATGAATTTACATGTATACTTAGGGTAAGACAAGGTGAATGTTTGTCACCTTTTCTTTTTTCTATGTTCTTAAACGACTTAGAAGTGGTGTTGCAGGAATAGATGTAAATATATGTTTAAAGTTTTCTTGTTATTATATGCTGACGATATCGTATTGTTTGCAAACTCAGCAGAAGAACTACAACACTATCTATGTCTCAGGTATAATTATTGCAATACATGGAAGTTAAAAGTCAACGTATCTAAAACAAAAGTTATGATTTTCAAAAGAGGTGGTAGAATTCCAAGTGACCTTCAATTTGATTATGGTGGTAATTTGATTGAAATTGTTTATACATTTACACATCTTGGTATTGTCTTTACTTGTGGTGGATCCGTTACAAAAGCACAACAATGTTAGCTGCACAAGCACAGAAACCTATTTTTAAACTCAATAAATATTTATATAAATTTATGTATATTAAACCAAGGCATAAGCTTAATCTGTTTGATACATTAATTACAACTATATTAAACTATGTAGTGAGATAATGGGTTTTACTGTTAGTCAAACAATAGAACGGTTACACACAATTTTGTAAAAAGATTCCAGGAGTTAAAAAAACTACACAAAATGATTTTATTTATGGAGAACTTTGTAGAATATCTTTTCATTGTAGACATCTTTTCAATATTGTAAAATAAAATTCTGGATGAAAATATAGTGTAGTTATGGAAACAAATATGTTAGTAGAGTTTATAAGTTATTGAAAAGTGATTATAGAATAACCCAAATGTAGTAAACTGGTGTTCGAAATTAAAACAACTTTTATGTTCTTTAGGATTTTATGATGTTTGGTTACAGCAGAGTGAAGGCATATTGATATGTTTTTAGTAATTTTAAAACAACGTTTAAATGACAATTTTGTTCAAAACTGGCATGAAAGATTATATAATTCTAGTAGGACTTTATTTTATAGGACAATAGCGAATTTTGAGTTTCAATCATATCTAAATCTTTTAATGTAAACAATGTGTGTCAGGCTATGGTAAGATTACGAGTTTCCTCTCATAGGCTACAAATAGAGGCTGGACGTTGGTCCAGTCCTACAAGAACTCCTGTTTATGAAAGAAAGTGTTTAACGTGTAATCTTTAAGATGATGAATACTATTTTTATTAGAATATTTGATGTATGCTGAATTAAAAAAACAATTTATTCATAAGAAATACTGGAAACATCCAAATTTGGTAAAATTTATTGAATTGTAAACCAATGAAAATGATACAAATATAAATAAACTAGGAATGTGTGTGTATAAATCTTTTGAAAAGAGAAACGAAATACTACAAGGTTCAGTTTAGTAATGATTTATTTTTCTTGTAAACCTACTTATGCGCTAAGTTTTTAAAATGTGTATTTAAAACATTGATCTAGTTAAAAAAAGACATGAGGAAAATTAATATTTTAAACATGTCGATGTGTATATTTTCTTATAACCAGTATGATAAATACATCATGAAAATGTGTATGATTAATGAGTCATGTTAACTTGTTTGTTTTATTTATCATCATGTTGGTGCGTATGTTTAATTCACTATATAACGTGCATTTTAAGTTTATCACATTAATGAGTATGTTAACTGCATCATGCTAATTGTGTTATGAATTGACCATGAATTTATAAAATATAAATGTCATACTTGTCTAATAAGATTCAAATTTTAACATACAATATAACGCGTGTGTTTAAGTAAACTTATTATATATGCATAGCCGTTTCGGATTATATTTTAAAAACTAGATGCTTGAAACAATTGATAAAACGATTGAGAAATATGGGAGAGGATTGAAGGTCAGACGATTACGAAATTTTAAAAACGTATCATGCAAAGTATTTTAGTAGGCTAGTTTAAATTTAATCTGAATAAAACCATTTATCATTGTAGCAAACTTTCAAAATAAGTTCCGGATAGCAAAATATGCAGTCGCTGATCGTGGTCATGTATCAAATAAAATCCGCATACCCTAAGATCATGAACAATATCTACAATCCAAACGCCCTGCACACATTAAGTGTAGTTCGATTTTACGAAGCAGTCCGATATCCTTTTAAAAAAGTAGAGACAGGAAACCAGGACTTTTATCAGAAGGCGGTTATAAAATTTCGACAAGAATTAACGCATATTCTATAGAGTTAGGCATATTTCATGATGGGGGTTGGAGTCATTTTTTTCATATTTTTAAGTAAAAACGGAATTTCATTTATGTATAGTCTAATACATATTACCCAAATGCCAGAGGGTTATGACCCACAGCCCCCCATCCCCTTACCCCGTCCCCTTGATCGAACCACGCATGTAGTTTTTTCTGACTAATATTTGACTTCAAACTACATGCTTCTCGTCGCTGCCAGAAAGTTCCTGACAGAGGCTTTGAATTCTTTCATTCAAGTTAACTTACGGAACGTTGATGGGTGTACTCAGGTGTCCACTTTGCCTTAAATAATGCACAGAGGGGCACCCGAGGTTGTCCTATGCTTGTGAATCTGGAACGTCGATATATGACTATTGCAGCGTCTGTGCATCACTCGTTCACGCGATAGTATCATCGGGATGCATCTCCTATCAACTGCTGTAAAACAGTGCCATATATGTCTTTGCAACCTCAAAATGCTCACAAATACATAGTTTAATTGAATTAGTATTTTGCATGGAAGTCAAGATACTATGTTTACATTTTTGCTACCTTTACGACAAATAACTGCATAATTATTCAACGCCTCTTTCTTAAGTTTTTAAACATCTTACATTATTAAACATGTGTTTGACACGAATAGCGTCTATAATATGAACAAGAATTGACAATTTGAAATAGATTTATCATTGATATCAACAGCAAATTTACATAAAAAAATTATAATGGATAGTAAAATTTAAATAAGAATGTTGGCCAAAATACCGCATAGACGATATGTTGATCACATGATATCATTATCAGTTTATATGAAAATATTATTATTAGTTCATATGAAAAGTATTTATATTATAAACATAAATTAACATTATTGAAACGGAATTAAATCAGTAACTAACAATAAGAAATAATATAAACAACCTACAAAAGATAGCAAAATTGAAAAAAAAATGACCCGCGCACCGTACAATTAATTTCACTCATTAAGTATATCTGACTTCAATCTACTTCAAAGTGCCTAATAAGTATATTAAAAAGCCTGGACTGACGTTTGTTTTACCCCACGCAGATCACAAAATGTCACCTGGTACAGATACCGCGTACTTACAGTGTAAACGTATGTCTCACAGTATTAATTTGCAGTTTCACTTTTGACGTTTGTGTAAATGTCAGATCCATTATAACTCTGCAATATGCATTAGGAAATAATGTGTGGTGATAACGAGTTGTGCTTTTATTATTACTATTTCATGTAACACATGAACATAATTGTACATGCGCAATGAATTACCATATATTTTAACATACTTGAATAATTACGGTCTATATATGATGTGACAGCCAGAGAAAAATATGTTTCCTCCTTCCTTCTCCTCGGGTGCTTAGGGTGGTATTATATATTAATATACATGTATATCGCGTGTTTTAAGTTACATCCAAAAACGGTAAAGTAAATTTGTTGTGAAAAAAAATAGCCTCAGTAAAAACAGATTAACTAGATAGTTTTTTTTAAATCTTTTTTTTTTTCTTTTATTTGTTTATTATGTAAATATGAGAAAAAACGTTCAGGTTCATGTAGTGCTACACTTTAATACTGTTTCGGTGAAGGGCCACATAACGCAGTTGACTCGTCGATTTGAGACAATGACATGACTCAATATGAAAATATAAGCGGATCGGAAATAACGATATAATGAATAGTGGAACTTGGTTAATATTATAATTTTAATATGCAAAAACGGAAATAAGATGTTGAACGTACGAAGATTGAAACATAATATCCACTTGAAGTAATAATTTACTAATATAACTATGTAGTGCTATTATAAATGCGTTAAGCAACTGCTAAGTAGATTTCTGATTAAAAAAAAAACGGTGCTAAACAGATACAACACGAAATATATGGATTTTATTACAATTAAACACTGAATATTTTTGATAATCCTTATTATGATATATTTGTTTTAATGAAACTGTTTAAGTTTCATTCCAAAAAATTATGATGGACAGAACATTTATATAAACTAAGAAATAATAAATAAAAAGTTGTTCTGGAATAAGAAAAAAACCTGACATATTTGAGTTTAAAATGGCTCGTAACATATGTTATGATAATATGCTTACTGTGCTTAAGTACGGTTGTCTTGTGCTCTTTGCTGTACAAGTTGGGGTTGTTTTGAGTTATAACATTGAAACTAATCCGAAAAAAGTCGGAAAAGCTCAAGGTGAAAGGAATTCACAATTTGGATACACCGTTGCAATAGTTCGTAAACCTGGATGGACCACTGGAGATAAACGTTTTCTTGATAAAGAGTAAGTACTGTCATCTTATTTAAGATATTAACATTTATTCATAACGTTTGCTTTTTGTTTATCATATCACACACAAATCAGAACCTGGAATACATTATTCATGTCGGTTATAGTAAATCTCCTGTCTAATATATTGTCATGAACGACAGATAAATATAAAAACATCAACATATTAAACGTGGTCATGTCTACATTTACTCATATCGTCATCATGTGATATAACATAAAACATCGGCAAGTAGAAGATAATTGTGCAATATCAATATCATATCATACATACACAATAATATAAACCATCATTATGCCATTTTTATGTTACTAAATTATATTTGCAAGGCACTCATGTAATACATCAGCATGTTATAAATGCAAATCAAAACCATTACCATACCACATGCTACGCAATACCATAATAATGGTATACATGTTATACAAAGCCATCACTGTTATGTGTTAAAAATACCATATAAGTGCCTAACATACCACATAATTCCATTTTCGAATTTGTAATACTTTCAACATACAGCTCGAGTAACTCAATACCTCTGATTTAGATAACATATATGAAGTACCATTAACATGCCATATGATGCCTTTTAACAAGATGTACAAGTCATAAGCATGTCATATAACGGTATATTGCACCATTATCATGAAATGGTTAAATAGATTTGCTTAAACGATCAGAAAAAGGTATGAGTTACACATTCACGCATGTTTTTTTTTCTAAATCCAACAATTACTTCCGAACAAAGAGATAGAAAATAGATTATAGTCTCTCAAACTTGTTTATAATAATATCAATACAAAAAACTTCACGTGCAACTGATTGATTCCATAAGAAGGTCGTGATCTAATGTGCAAAAGATCATTTTTATAAGGATATTGAAAAAAGAATAAAGTAATAATATTAGAAAATTGTTGACAGGAAGGGGTTCGTACATACTACAAAGTGTTTTGAACGACATATAAATATAAATGCATCTGCATATTAAACATGGTCATGTCTTCTTTACTTAAATCGTCATCATGTGATATAACATAAAACCATCGGCATGTATAGAAGATAATTGTACAATATCAATATCATATCATACATACACACTAATATAAACATGCCATTAATATAACATTTACGGTACCATCAACAATGTCTTCACTTTGTACATTAACATTATGATGTTATACATATTTCACAGTGACATATACAAGTCATTAAATACACACAAATCCATCATCAGGCCGTTTTTATGTTAATAAATCATACATCTGCAAGGCATTCGTGTAATGCAACAGGATGTTATAAATGCAAATCAAACCCATTACCATACCACATGCTATGCAATTCCATAATAATGGTATACATGTTATACAAAGCCATTACTATGTGTTAAACAATACCATATAAGTGCCTAACATACCACATAATTCCATTATATATATATAACTCCAGCTCATTCAAATGCCATACATGACCGCCTCCGTGGTCGTGGGGTTAGAGTCGATTACTTCTAATCCAATTACCTCTCTGGCGTTGGTTCGATCCCCGGGAGATGCTTTGGTAGTTTAGCGCGGAGGAAGGTAGTCTAGTACTGGTGTAACTCTCCAGGAACAATGGTTAGGAAACAACCCGCCTATATGACTGAAATTCTGTTGGGAAAAGGCGTAAAATGGAACAAACAAACAAACAAATGCCATATATGAATTAGCATTAACATGTCATATGATGTCCTATAACAAGAAGAGCACGACATAAACATAGTTATATAATGGTATATTGTACCATTATCATGATATATGTGAAAAAGTGAAATAAATTTACTTATACGATCAGAAAAAGGTATTAGTTACGCATGTTGTTTTCAAAATCTTAAAGTTGATTCCGAAAAAAAAAGATAATAGTCTCTCAAACTAGTTTCTAATAATATCAATACAAAAAGCTTCATGTGCAAATGATAAGATTCCATTTTTATAAGGATACTGAAAAAAGAAAAAAAATAATAATGTTAGAAAATTGTTGACAGTAAGGGATTCGTACATACTACAAAGTGTCATGAACGACATATGAATATAAATGCATCAACATATATAACATGGTCATGTCTTCATTTACTTATATCGCCATTGTACAGCATAAAAATCATATCATACCTACACAGTAATGCAAACATGCTATTTATATAGCGTTTACAGTACTATCAACATGGTATAAAAATGTATAAAGTTTTCATCATGTCAAGCATGTTTCTTAATATTGTAATAAAGACTTTTTGACTCGCAGACATGTGGTGACTTCTATGAACCATAATAATAATGTCATATATCCTACCTTATATTTAGTCATTATTTAGATGTACGTTATAAGTAGATCAAAAATTTATTTAACTACTTTTATCATTGAACACCGTAAAAGTGCGGTATTGGATTTGATCCGATATTTACATAAGATCTGTGAAAATCATAATTAAAATATTTAAAACATAGAACAAATTAAAATATTTTCAAATATACGTGCAAAAATTTGTATTCAGATAAATAAGCGTGACTTTCGGTATTTTGACAGCACCTCAAACATAGGTTACAGTATATCAATAGCACAAGATTACATGATCACGTGATTTATATTGAGTTTATAGATCACGGTGTCAAGGATATACGCATCATTTTTCCGCGTACCGTCGATAATTTAAAATCCTACGTGCAGCAACGTAGACAAAACAAACACTGAAACACAACAAGCATGATGGAAAACGACCCGAAAGTCACATTTTTGAAGTAAATGTATTCATAAAAGTGTATCTACGGAATATTAGGATCATTGAAGCTAATGTCTTCACTTAGTTTTTATCAAATACTTGTACGATTTCTTTTTTTTTTAATAAAAACAGCTAGAGCTGCCTTGGGGAAAATGATCATTTAGAAAACTTTTAAAATGAGAAAATTATGTTGTCAATCAAAATATTTATTTGATTTAACTGTAAGCATTACAGAATATTGCACACAAATTTAAGCTGTTTAATTTCTTAAAAAAGTCATAAAAGTGTGACAACTGACCGAGTTCTTGGTACCGTATCATGGGTCCGCACCGAAAATTGTGGCACCGTATACATTAGCGCTAGACTTGCACCGCATCATGATGATTAACCTAATGGTGAATAATCTTATTTATATTTATTTATTGTTGTCCATCTGGGCGAGGTCTGTACATGTATATTTATTATTTACAAACCGGAGGAAAATGCATAAATACTTTTCAGGCAGTGAAAGGTGTAGGTAAATTGTATTCGCACGGAACTTTCGTGCACTTAGTCAATCGGACATAATTCACTTTCATTCATGATAAACAATTTTAAAATAGCTGCAATCAATTACCAGAATGTCAAATTTACTAACATTGTTAATGTCAGTCAACATTGAAATCCTCTCTAACTTGTTTTGCGTCAATGTTATATGGATTACGTTTTGGACCCCAAATTTAGTAAGTTCCCTTATTCACATGCTTACCTTAACGCCATGTTCAGCCGTTTATGGCAGTTGATTTTTGTGTGTCGGGCGATGGGTACAGTAAATGTCACGTTAATGTTGTTTTTTTATAGAATGTCAGACTATATACAAAAAACACTAAGTATTGTACCATCTTCCAACGAACAACTGTTAGTTTTGTCAATGCTAAAATCCACAGTTACTTTGTTCCTGGAAAAGGCCATCCAATTTCTCGATAAACTGGATTTTCTCATGAGATGCGCACTACTTTCCAACGGTAACTATAGTGTCCGGTTTGAGGCAGTTAAAATATCACCTGTTAAGATTGACTAAATCTCTTGTTTTAGCTCAACTATTCAAAACATTGGGAGAGCTAATGTAATTGTGAATTTTGACGGAACTATCGTCCTTATTGAAATCCTACATTATTAAGGCTCTTGTTTTACTATCAAGCAGCGCACCGGCTCTTCTTAATAGATAAGAAGCGAGATTGAACATTCTCTTTCGAAGATTTTCTCTATAGTCACCGGTACTGTAAATAAGTTACAGTTCCCGAATTAAACATGCGAAAATTAAGTTTAATCATGGCAAAGAAATTTATATTTCGGTTCGCACGAGGATTTAAGTTAAGCATAGGACAAATTCAATGTTGAATGGCGCAAAAAGTATCTTGTGAGAATGTAAATTCTTGCTACTTTATCTATAAAAATACAGAAAGGCGGACAAACTTTTTAGAAAACATCGTGCATGCCTTTAACGGTCCCAAGAAGGACACCGTATATTTCAACTGTGCTAAATCCACGTAGAAAGTAACGGTTATTTAAAAGTGTCTTCTCACTATGGTGGCTGATTTGGAACGCTTTTGTGCGTGCGTCGTGTTGGCGCTACTTATCTTCATGGTTAACAATCCAATATATAGAGAATAATAGGTTGGTGCCGTGGATGGAGAAAGTTTATCTGGCGAGGCGGAGGAATTTATTGGGTGAGCCGAAGGCGAACCCAATAAATTCCGGAGCAGAGCCAGATAAACTTTCTCCGTCCACGGCACCAATTTATTATTCTATTTATCCTGTCACCGTTTTTTTTTAAAGAATTTTATTAGGCAAACTACCTTTAATCACACTATCGGAAATGTTTCTAAATAAACAAAGAAGGCCCGAAGCGTGCATTATTCTACAACAATGCACTCGCCGTTCTTATTATCTCCCTGTGTATTTTCACATTGAGGGCGCCATATTGTTTGAAAAATGTGATAAATAAAAACAATTTTTTTGTCGAATTTTGTTGTGAAAACTATCTAGAATGAAAGAAAATGGTCTAACTAAGAAAATGAATTCGAACACCAATATCTTTTATTCAGTCGTTAACGCTGTACAGACGTTTAAAGTAGTGTTTACGTGACGTCACAATGTAGCGCCAAACAGCACGTGCAAAACAATCAAATCAAGTACGCTATTTTAATGTCGCAAACGAGTTAAGTTTTACATTTATTTCACTTTTAATAATTTTTATTTCGCTTGAAAAATTATAGAGTGAAATAAAATAAACAAACAAAGTTATATCAACGTTTCCAAAATTCGTTATTCTACACAAAGAAGATTTAACGACAGTTTTAATATTTTTTCTTGAAAAGTAGTCCGGCAAACATGCATACCACGTGATCAAGTGCCGTAGATCAGTAAAAATATACGGCACCTTGTTATCGGGTCGAAATTGATACAAGTGACAGGATAAAAACATTTATCACACAACCGTGCCGATTTTGCGACTCCGTAAATATGGTATTGCACGGCCGTGCATATATTTTGACGTGACGTCATTAGCGTTATACAAACATAATGTAAAGACGCGCTAAATGTAAGCGTTATACTATAGGCGCGTCAATGAAAAATGACTCTTATTTCACTTTAAACTGTCTTTATTTTGGGTATGTGATAAATAGAATATTAAATTCGTGTAATATCATTACTGAATTTATTACACTCGTTGAATAAAATAATATGCATAAGAGGCTCGCATAATATCATTTTATCCAACTCGTGCAATAAATTCAGTATTAAACTTACACTCATTCAATATCCTCTATATCCAACATAAAACTATCCTCCAAAAAAAAAGGATAAGCTATATTATTTCAAATTTTTCAACAGAGCGAAAACAAAGAAGTTTTTCCGCCATGATCACGTGACTCTATATCTTTTAGATTATTATACTAATTTTAGAATGGCCAATAAGAATCCCGGATTTCAGTTTACAATTCTGTAATGACCAATGGAAATCCTTCTAATATTCAGCTCTTCCCTGCAAATTAAACAGGAAGTCAAAAAGATCTACTAAATCGTGTGTCCTAGTAAAGAATGATATTTAAATATTAAATTTCTAAGCCGGTAAAAGACAGATCTAAACAAAATAAAAAACATGTATGTATTAGTGCATGTATTAAAAGTGTCATATAATGAGTGTTATACAATGTACCTGTTTATAAAAAAAACATTTTTGCTTTCTTGCATCCAACGTGTTGTCATGTGAAAAGACCTATCGTTTGACAACGACCACACATGATCTATTTTCAGACATTTTGTAATCTTCCTTCCCATATAATTGTATAAGTTTCTGAATAAATATCTAATTTGAGTAAAATACTAAACTTAGTTTTGACTAAACATATGGCCTTGTTTACACCAGGTGTCAAAATTTTGCATTTATTTCGTAATCTCATTTTGTCCATGTATTGATCTGAGAGAAAAAAAAATGTACTATTCTGTTATGTTTTTCTTCAGACTTTTGGTAGGAGCGCCATATTTAACATACAACAAAATCATCGGTCATGGTCAGGTGACTCGGTGTATGACACCGACAAGTGAGAATATCACCTGCATTTCCCTTGACCTCGAAGATCCTTCAAACTTGTGTGGTAAGTGCTAGCTTTACAGAGCCTCACGTATTAGATTTCGATTAGATAAAATGATCTACTTCTAATTATTTGTTCTCATTAAGATGGCACCGATGACATTTTCAATCCCGTCAGTAACATTATCTGGTTATAAGGTAGCTACTAATTTTGTCAAGCAGTATTGAAGTTAGATTGTTCCATCTAAGTTAGACATAAATTCGTTATAAAGATTTTTGACAGGTTATATGGCCGTATATAAACGGCTGTTTGCAATATAACCCTCGCCTAACGGCCCGGGTTATATTTACAAATAGCCGTTTATAAACTTGCAGTAACAAACGTGCAGTATTATAAAAGATTTTATAATACTGCACGTTTGTCACGTCACTTTTCATTGGAAAATCGTGACATTTTTATAGTTTTATTTACACTGTTTCTGGCAATTTTCTAAGAAATCTCACTTTGTTTTTCTCAAAAAAGGGAAGTTCGCGATTTTATAAATTCGTTATAAATATTCCTGACATGTTAAATGGTTGTAGGCAATATAAACATCGCCTAGCAGATCGGGTTATATTTCCAAACAGTCGTTTATATAGGGCGATATTACCTGTCAAAAATTTTTATAACTAATAATATAAACGTCATGATTATCCAATGAAAATCGACTTTACATATTTAATATATAGAGGATATTAAAGTTTTTTCTATAGATACATGATTTATTTTCATTGAGTGGTATGAAAATAAATATTTCATGAGTGGCGGTAGCCACGAGTTAAATATGGTAATTTTCATGCCACAAGATGAAAATAAATCATGTATTTATAGAAAAAAACTTGAATTTTCTGTTTATTATATACATTTTTCTCTTTTTTGCGATAAAATTTGAAAGACTTTCCCTTAAATTTTATGTACTGGCAGAATTTAAAAGAAAGTAGTCTGGCAAGACACCAGTGAAAATACGGAAAATATGTTTCACTGCAGTGAAAAATAAATTTTTACAGTGAAAATACGGAAAATGAAAATACGCATTTTATTTATCAATATTTCTCAATATTTCATTTATAAGTATATAATCGCCTGTTTCAATGGAACTTTCAACAGGGGCAGTTCCAATGACTGTTCTCTTTTTTTTTAAAGGAACCGTTGTCGTAGGTTTACCACTATCACAATTGATATTATCAAGGCAATCGGGATTTTCATCGCGAAACAAGTCTATATTGTAAGACGACAGACCGGCGGATCCTGCACGTGTCGTGTGATTGTGTTCCGGTTTAGCATGATCGTAACCTTATATTCACCTTCGTTATAAACAAGAGCAGTACACAATTTCCGCGGTACATGTATTCAAATGATAACACAACGCAATCGTTAATAACTAACGAGTAAGCAACGAACGATTGCTTAACTACTGCTTTCGAGATACCCGCGCTAGTCTCTCGTTAACCAACCCTCCGTCAATCGTTAGCATGTTCGTAAACGCAAATATAACGATAGCTTCGAGATACTAACCCCTGCAGGATTATAATTTGTCTCCAAAGAATAATATCAATCAATGATTTCTTTAATCAATTTTCATTTGTGAAATGACGTTTGGTGTCCATCATTTGTCCATCATTTCCTAAAACTGCGTCAACACCTCTACTAGACCGGTTAAAATTCTTTCCTTGAAAATTTCCGGTTTACATTACAATATGTGCAACCAATATAATCATAAATTCAAAATAAAACGGAAAATTTAATATATTTTGAAATTATCTTGAAGGATATAAGTTGAATCAGGTTGTGAAATAAAACAAATATCAAACAACTATTACCCTTCCTTGAAATTCACATACTATTGTGGAAATATCGAGTTTTCCTGTGTGCTCTGCCTGGTAATCCATTTATGAGTTATTTTCTACGGTTTTATATTAGTATTATCCTTAGTTTTCTTTAGAGAGCCAGGCTGCTAGGCTTCACAAATTGTGAAGCGTCAGAATGAAAAGAATCTTATAAAAAGACCACTTTATTGAAAAAGGCGTGTAATGGTCGATGCAAGTGCTACTAATTCAACTCAACTCAAATAATTTTATTGCGTTAAACATACAATATATGTTTATAGCACATACAAATATCTATAGACAGAAGACATGGATTTTTCAAGGAGCACAAAAATACAATGTAAAACATTATGACTTGTTTGAGGTTCTGTAAAACTATTTTCTAACCAAATTTGCATAATATAAATATTAAGAAAGATCTCTTACTCTTATTTTAGATTCAGACAATAATAAATTAGTAAATTTTTGCAATGTAGGCCATCTATAATAGAAGCATCTTACATACTTTTTGCGAAAGTCAGCATATTGTGAACATGTCAACAAAAAGTGAAAATCGTTTTCAATTTGTCTCGAAGAACAATTATTGCATATTCTTTCCAGTCCAGGTACATTTGTACATCTTTCCTTTTCAATAAACAGGTCGTGAGATGATGTGCGAAATTTTGTAAGAGCAACTCGAAATCTTTCGTCCGTAATACAATCACTTTCAAATTTATATTTTATAGAACGTTATGTATCAAGAAGTCTAGAATTATTGATGGAACAATACCAACTTTGATCATAAATATCTAATATGCGTCGTTTAATAAAATTGTAGTCAATTAGCATGCTTAATTGGTTTTGCCAATTATACGAAAGTCCGCATTTATCAAGTATAATTTTAATTTGATTTCCGATGGTTTTCATCTTCGAACTATTCGTAGTTTTCTTTAGGCTGCCAGGCGGCTGTGTTGTTGATTTCAGGGGCGTAATGGGCCTTAATTTAATGACAATAAGAATTGTGATTAAATTTCAGTGTACGTAATTTGCTTGATACGATTATATTTTTTTTTAAATGATAAGTTTTCGTTATCTAATTAAAAGAAAAGTCAAGCCATTCGCTTACGTAATTAACTCGTTTATGTAATTAACTTCGACTTTGTAATAGACAAACACATATACCTATGAAAATACTGACGGTACAATCAGGGTTACCATTCAGAATGTTTATCAAATGCAATAATTAAATATTGTCGAATATAAAACAGCCGAACTGAAATCTTTTATTCTTGAAAATTAAAATAAGTTAAAACATGTTTTTAATTGAAAGGTGGCTTTATTCAAAACTTATTGTTTTTGTTTTGCTTTTTTTCTCTTTTTGTTTGTTTGTTTTTTCTTTTAACTTTTTAGCAAAATTAAAGAGAACCACAACTGACTGTGCATTTCAAAGCAGACTTGGAGCGACAATTGAAGTAAACCGAAATTATAATAAGGACACCGAAGCTGATATGGTTACTGTAAGTGTTTTCAATTACTGTATTCGTTGAGGTTTCCAAACCTTTGGATAAATTTTAGAGTCCTTGCAAAGGATGTGTGCTAAAGGGTTTGCAAGGTAAAGGGCAAACGAAGCATATGTGCCCAGTATGACAAATGTGCTCGTGTGTTTGCACATTCATCGCACATTGGAAATGTGGGGATGTGTTCCACAAACTATATGGGAAAATAGTTGGAAATGTCTCATGAAGAGACAGACAAACATGTCAATTCATAATTCCTATGAATTGTCTATTCATGGTATCTTGTTATGATGTCCCGTCTTGAAACAAAGCTTTGACCGTCAGAAATGTTCTATACGCATAAAATACTGGTCACTATAATGATTATTAAAACGTGTTCTAAAGGGGTGCCGAGCATGTGGAAAAGATTCCTACGGGAATAAAAGAACAAATATGCACCTTTTATTGTCTTAATTGTTTGAGGGATATTGATTAAAACGAATATTGTACAGCAATAGAAAATACACCTTTGGGTATGTTGTTGGTCAAATATAGTGTCAACAAAGTATTGAATCTATGCCAAAATACCGCCAGTAATATAAAAGTTACTTATTGCGTCAGTTGAATGCATTGATACTTATTTTTGCTTTGACAAATGTAAAAATTCGCTTGTTTACAAAATAAAGTAGAGTTGACAAATATGATTTGATGTCATTTGAAAACCTCAACATGAACATAAACGTCACTGCAAATGTAAACAAGTAAATATTTGTGTTGTGTGCAACATACGTGATAACATAACAAATGTCTAAGGTGTGACTGAATGGACGTGTGACATACGTAATCCGTGTTGAATGTGCTCTACAAAGGCAGTGGTTTAATTATTCGTATTAGTCATATAGTAAGTGCAGATCAAGGAGATAAGTTTAGTTTAAACATATTTATTTAAGCTTGATTGCGACTTATATAAATCACTTTCGAGTCCGCTTCCTGGAACAAACCTGTACTGGTGTCATATGAAGAGACATGATTGAGACCAAAGTTGCGTTTGAACCCATGATCCCTGGGTTAAGAGGCAGACAACTTAACCAATAGACCACTGAATGAGATTTAACGTAGTTGTAAAATTGTGTTTTCAGGTTTGTGCCCCTGGTTGGAAAAACGTTTACCCCGAGATAGCCTCTCATAAATACCAGAATGATATGCCTGGTATGTGCTTAAGATTGAGAGATGAACTCCAAGTGCAGCCATGTACTCGATCGTAAGCACAATTTTATCCTAAATAAAGAACTTAAGCTGACTATCATGTTTTCTATTGTTTGTTGTATATTCGTTTTTAAACGTAGAGATACATGTATCAATAAAGCAAATATATGTATGTTTGTATTGTCAGGTGAAATGGCATTTAGTTTTGCAATAAAGCTAACTTTCTTTTTCTTAGTTAGATACAGTATTATTATGCAATACTTTTAATAATAATAATAATAATAATAATAATAATTATAATAATAATAATATTAATCACAAGAATAATGATAATTAATAAATAAAAAATAAAATAAAATAAATAATGACAATAATAACAACAGCGATCAGTGATCAAATGTGTCACCTCATGATAGCCATAACTCATCAGAAGTCATTTAACCTAAATGTATGCACAAGAACATTAGATACAGATCAATCCTGTAAAGTTTCATTGAAATTACATAAGTGGAATGAGAGTCAAAGTCCGGACAAATTATAAAAATGGCAATCATTAAAAGGGCTATAACTATACAGGCCCACCAGAAAATGTTTTTCTTTTTAAATTGATATTAATTAATAAAGAGTGAGAACAATGAAAAAATCTATAATTTAACAAAATAGAGAAAAACAGAATCCTTAAAGAAAGTCCAACACAACACAAGAGCGATCAGTAATCACATGTGTCGCCTCATGATGGCACATTTCATGTTGGGACAAATTTTGTGACAGACGGACAGACAGACGGACAGTGCACAACTAAAATTGGTACTGATCATTCCTGTAAAGTTTGGATAAAATTGCACCAGTAGTTTATGAGGAGTAGTCCGGACAAGCTTTTGCGTATCTGGCAACACACAGAAAAAACACCTTTTTATCAAAGGGCCATAACTTGGCCAAAATCATTCAACCAAAAAAACCCGTGCAATATACGCAAGGACTTGAGCTACAGATCAATCCTGTAAAGTTTCATTGAAATTGCATTAGTGGTATAAAAGAAGTAGTCCGGACAAACTTTAAAATTAAAAATTATTAAAGGGCCATAACTCTGACAAAAATCATTGAACCGGAAAATGCTGACAATATGCACAACTAGACTTGTCGGGTGGGGGCTGCGTTCATTGAATGCCGCCTTTCCTTGTCGATCTTGTTATCATATTATATTTGGTACTGATCATTCCTGTAAAGTTTGGATGAAATTGCATCAGTAGTTTATGAGGAGTAGTCCGGACAAGTTTTGTGACGGACGGACGGACGGACAGACAGACGGACAGACAGACGACGGAGAAGTGACTCATATATGTCGCCACTACTCCGTAAAGGCGACACAAAAATTGAAAATGTTGCAGGCTCGGTTTGATTGAGCCTGTTCATGGACGGTACTGGAAAGTGCAAGTTACCGTCCACGCCCCCTAGCACCGGCTTAAGCAGAATTCAACATTTAAGACGAAAATGGTGAAATTTTGAATTTAGAAACATCCGCAGATGTGTTCATACGGCGGTTATCATGGAACCTTCAATGTGACACAGGAGTGCCATTCCATGTTAAGCGGCGTATTGTCCCCAAGTAAAAGAATGATTTTGCCCTAAACGAGAGAACAATGAGCATATCACAGATAAGACGTCAAAAGACAAATTTAAAAAGAAGGCCATATATCCTAAGGGTGATTATACAGTATTCAATTAGGAATACTGGAACCACCCAAATTGAAAATGGCCAAAAAGAAGAAACTTAAAGTACCACATAACATGTTTTCCCATTTTCATAACTACGATCTCCATAGGTATTGAGAAATTGCTACCCCGTTGCTACCCCGTTGTTTCCTTGAGTAAGAAAATTTTCACACAGTGCTTTGTACTCACTTCAACAAAGCCGTTTATTAGGAAGCTTATAGCTCTGTGGTTTCAGGGACGGATTCGAGACTGTGTATTTTTTTGACGCAATCAAACTATTAAAAAATCTGTATAAAATGAATTAAAGGTTCCCTACAAAAATATATTTGAAAAGTGCTGATACTCGCCGATTAATGACGTTAAACATGTGTACAGTTCAGTACCATATATGAAAAAAATCACATTTTCCGGCGTCACCGCGAAGCACTATTCACTTACATCGACGTAACCTTATAAAAACGAATAATAATCGATCAATAAATCGAAGGTCTTTGGAAACTGGTGACCGTTGATGACCGAAGAAGGTCGAACACAACACAATTATTTCTTTTTAAGAAAATGATTTAATAGGCCTACCATTTTATGAATAATTCCGAGCAAAAAAATATCAAGTAAACACACAAGTTTACGCAGAAAATATCTCTATTTATTATGGCAGATGCCACTACGAATATTTTAATTTTGTAGATTTTCAGTATAAAAAATTTATTGTTTGTAAAATTTGAGATACATATTAAAAAATATTGATAAATTTCAAACACATCATTCAAGTTTTTCCACCTTATAGGGTTAAATAATTATAGAAAATTAGAAATATCACGTAATCGTTTTTTGTTCTTAATTAGGTGTAATTCTGACTAAATCCCTAGAGGTAAATCCGTAACGTACCGGCAAACGGTATTTAGCCAGGTTTTCGAAAAGGTCAATTAACCAATCATGTACGGTTTACAGATCACATGCTCCTCCATGTACCGAAAACAGGTCACGTGCTCCTCCATGCCTCAAAAGTTAAACGCGTACCAATAATTGGATGGAAGCACCGTATCACGGACAATCTGCACCGTTTCACGTACCCGACAGTGTATTAGAGGGGCATCTATATGGAACGCCTGGACTGTCTTATGTGTAGAATGACTGATATACATGGTTAAATGTCATTCTGTTGAGTCCGAGATATAATATGCTGGGTCAAAATCCCAATATACTGGGTGGAAATCCAAATGCGCTCAGTTATTGAAGTGTAATGTTGTGTGCTGATTACATTTTATTCAGTCAAGTCAATGTATTGTCGGGTGCATAAGTCGTTCTGTTCAGTTGTTAAAACAAACAGGCATGTGGTAACACAATTATGTTGAGTTAAAAAGAATTGCTGTAGGGTGTGACAGTTGTTATGTTCGGTTAAAATAGCTCTTCTCATCATGTTCAACCATGAACATCAACAGTTGGGTGCTTTATTCCTTCTGTTCAGTCGTGAAATAGAACTGTTGAATAGTACTGTCATTATGTTCAGTTCAGATGATATACTGTTCGGTGCAGAGGTCATTCTGTTCAGTAGTGAACACAAACTGTTGTATGATACCGTCATTATGTTCAGTTCAGATGATATACTGTTCGGTGCAGAAGTCATTCTGTTCAGTAGTGAACACAAACTGTTGTATGATACCGTCATTATGTTCAGTTCAGATGATATACTGTTCGGTGCAGAGGTCATTATGTTCAGTAGTGAACACAAACTGTTGTGTGATACCGTCATTATGTTCAGTTCAGATGATATACTGTTCGGTGCAGAGGTCATTCTGTTCAGTAGTGAACACAAACTGTTGTATGATACCGTCATTATGTTCAGTTCAGATGATATACTGTTCGGTGCAGAGGTCATTATGTTCAGTAGTGAACACAAACTGTTGTGTGATACCGTCATTATGTTCAGTTCAGATGATATACTGTTCGGTGCAGAGGTCATTATGTTCAGTTCAGATGATGTACTGTTCGGTGCAGAGGTCATTATGTCCAGTAGTGAACACAAACTATTGTGTGATACCGTCATTATGTTCAGTTCAGATGATATACTGTTCGGTGCAGAGGTCATAATGGTCAGTAGTGAACACAAACTATTGTGTGATACCGTCATTATGTTCAGTTCAGATGATGTACTGTTCGGTGCAGAGGTCATAATGGTCAGTAGTGAACACAAACTATTGTGTGATACCGTCATTATGTTCAGTTCAGATGATGTACTGCTCGGTGCAGAAGTCATAATGTTCAGTAGTGAACACAAACTATTGTGTGATACCGTCATTATGTTCAGTTCAGATGATATACTGTTTGGTGCAGATGCCATTCTGTTCAGTAGTGAACACAAACTGTTGTGTGATACTGTCATTATGTTCAGTTCAGATGATATACTGTTCGGTGCAGAGGTCATTATGTTCAGTAGTGAACACAAACTGTTGTGTGATACTGTCATTATGTTCAGTTCAGATGATATCCTGTTTGGTGCAGTGGTCATTATGTTCAGTAGTGAAGACAAACTGTGGTGTGATACTGTCATTATGTTCAGTTCAGATGATATACTGTTCGGTGCACAAGTCATTTGACAATGCGCTGAGTGGTCATACAATTATGTTGGGTTCATTCGGATATCTTCGCGTCAAACAAGATGGCGGGCGGGAGCAACTAATTTCCATAGGTCACGTCGAGGCTAATGACCACTAAATTGCCAAAACAATTTTCTTCCCCGTAAATACCATCGGGATCTTAAAAACGTTATTTCCATAAATTGGACAGATCGTATGGCATATTTAGTACCCAATGGGTATTTTATCAAGTTAATTTGTTACAGTCATAATGGGCACCGTATATTAAAATTAAAATATGGTTAAGGGTAGCCTGTTCAAGTCACACATGACCACCGTAAATAAAACTTAAAATATATGTGTTGGTAACTTTTTAGACTCACAAGTGGACACATCAAACGAAATTTAAAATATGAAACATAATATACAAGTAAGGCAAACCTATTTGAGTCACACATGGCCACAGTATATGGAACGTTAAATATAAGTATGGAAACCCCATTTGAGACATACATGACCACAGTAAATGGAACATTATATATAAGTAAGGGTAGCCTAATAAAGTCAAACATGGCCAAGTATAAAGAAAATTCTATATAAGTAAGTGAAACCTTATTGAGTCACACATGGCCACAATATATTAGACATAATGTTTAAGTCAGGGAAATGTATTTGAGTCTAATTTTATTAGGCTACCCTTATTTATATATAATGTTCCATATACTTTAGTCATGTGTGACTCATATAGATTTCCCTTACTTAAACA